AGATCATGAAATAGTCACGTAGTTTGAAGAGACACTGATGTTCTTTATGGAAAGGCTTTTGTGATGAGTCTTAATTTCAGTATAGGGTCTCAGATTTGACACCATGGAGATCCTGCATATCCTGCAGCATACTAGATGCTACAGCCTGAACCTGCTGCCTTGAGACCATCACATAGACCATCCTGTGATGTTAAGGGAGAATGTTTTCCATTGTGAATGGCTGTTTCTGAAAAAATGAATAACACACATTTCCCCTCTTGTCTTGTAGATAATGTTTTGCACTTTGAATACCCACAAAATTGATATGGATAAGCTCTTAGGAGTCCAGATTGGTCTCGAAGACTTTATATTTGCTCATATAAAAGGAATAAAAAAGGAAGTAGAAGTTTTCAAATCTGAGGATTCACTTGGACTTACCATTACTGACAATGGAAATGGATGTGCCTTCATAAAGGTAATGAAGATGGAATACATGAGTGTGTGAAATGTCTGGGCAGAAATGGAATAGCAAATTTTTTTCAGTGATTCTCTGTTACCAGGAATGGTGTAGAGTTGACACTATGGAAATCAGTCCAGAACCAAAAGGATATGGTGTAAATGTGAATGTGGAGTATTGATATCGTGACATAAATGGACTGAAATCCTGTTGTAAGTGCTTATTTTAGCTATGTGCTTTATTAGAATTGTTTGTATAATTGTTTAAAAACTTTTGTATTCGTAGTTTGTAAAGCTGTACTTTGCTTTAATTTGTTGTGAGCTACATGGGTCTTGTGCCAGGAAAAAAAGTGCGATATAATTTAAATAAGTAAACAAATAAACAAACTGCCTTACATATACTGTATATACTCATGTATAAGGAGACCTCATGTATAACTCAACAGCATGGTGGGGGACCAAAATTATGGATTTTGATATGAACCGTGGATAAGTCAAGGGCCATTCCGTGGAGAGGGGAAAGCACCAGTGCCCGCTCGGGACCAGCTGCCACTGCTGCCAACATTTCCCACCCAGGCATTTTAAAAAGCCTCTTGCTATTCTACTCAGAGAAGGAGATAGTTCCTTTTTCGATAAAAGTTAAGGTACAGTATTAACTCTTATCAAAAAAGAAACCATCCCCTTTTCTGAGTAGCGTGGTGAAAGGCAAGAGCTTAGTCCATCCTGAGAGAACCTAAAAGAAGCACCAATCTCCTTTACTCTCTCCATCATGGTGCCCCATCTGGCCTTTTTGAATGCCTGAGTGGGAAAATAGTGGTGGTAATGCCCTCTTCATCTATCCAGCCTTTAGAGTGAGTACAAACAATAAGGCCTGCTGGAATTTTGTAAATTCTTGTGGCATTGTTTTCCTTTGCTTGATCATTTACATCCTTTGTTATATACCACTAAGCATTACCCTCGACTTATCCACTGGTCATATAAAAAAGCCTGAACTACAATTTCATTATGATTGCATTGCTCATAGGAAACTCCTAATAGATATAGATGGATAAATGGCAACCAACCTGCAAATTCCCCAAATACTGTTTCAGTATTACACAAGAATTCTTAGGTTTTAACCCACCAGTCTTTCTGAAAAAAATCAGCACAAAATCTCACTCCCTATACAGTGCACCATGATATGGGAAGGAAATTCACAGGATGTTCACAGACCAGGGCATAATTCCTAAGTAGAGTTTTAGGGTTCAGAGGTTTAAGGCTGCCTGACTTGCATGTCATCTTTCTTGGAACAGCCTTTTCTTAATTTGCTGTTATAGGTCTATGGTTGTTTACTGGTGGCAGTGTGAGGGCCAGGAGCAGAAAGGCTGCCCTCCAAATGTTTAAAGCAGTTTAGAGCAGTGGATAAATACCAGGAGTCTAGGGGCCATTCCCCCCTGGGCTGCACCATCCTCTTCAAACAAAATTGGATGTGGCTGTTTAGCCTGCTTCTGATTTTGTTATACTGCCTGGGGAGAGACAAGGCATGTGTGTATGTGTACCTGTGTGTGGTGGTACTTTATTCTAAATAAATGTTCCAGTGGAATAGGAAGCAAGCAGTTGGGCAGCTGTGTGATCAATTGCATTTACAGTAAAGGGAGCATAGAACAACTTTGCATAACTTCATAGACACTGATTTATGGTATGCAACTTTGATGGAAGATCTTAGTCAGAATCTGCAAAGTAGAGACATTTAAAAGGAACTGTCCACATTTCTCAGTAACTAAAAGGGCACTTTGAGTAGCATAGTTGTTGTTCTTTTGGACTGATGGTATTGTTGCACATTTATTTTCATTTTGTTTCATATGCCATTTTCATTAACTTAGAATTATTTCACAGTTTTAAAAAAACGAACAATCAGCCTAATGTAAGTCTGTAAGTAGATTAGTCCACATTTTCAGCAGAAAGGTATTCCCTCAGAATGTGAATGGAGGAGATTGCACATTTTAATGTTTTCTTACATAGAAAACTAGTCATCATACTTTCCAGTGGGACACTCTAGTATAATACTGTTACTTCTGTTTGAATACAATCGTAGAAAGTACCTTCTATTGGAAGGAACCTTTTTAGGTCATCTAGTTCAGCCCTCTGCAACACAGCTGTTCTTAAATTGCTTTTGTGAAGCATAGCTTACCATTATCTGAGGCAGTCTCTTCCAGTCTCATGCAGGTCTTATCATGAGCCTAATGAAATCTGCTTTCTTATAATTCCAAATAATTAGATCTAGTCTTGCCCTCAGGAACAATACACAAAATCTGTTTCATGTCCCATGTGCTAGTCCTTCAGGTACTTGAAGATAGCTATCATGATTTCCTTTAATCTGTCATCTGTGCTAAACATGCCATTTTTTTTTTAGTTGCTGGTCATGGGACCTATTTTTCAGACACCTATCTGTATTTATTGTTGCCTTTTGGACATGGTCTATCACAGAGATATATCCTGTTCAATGGAGTTTAAAAGAAAAAACAACCAGTTGCTCCATGACGCATTTGGGTTAAATCTGGTTTAATTCCAAATAGATAATAACTATTGAGATAAAAGGGGATAAAGTGCGACTAACAAGTCCGATTCATTTCAGTGCATCTAATCTAGTTGGTATTATCATTGGATTTAGGCCTTTGTTGATATTCAGTAGCTTATTAAGAATCGACCAGAGAATATTAGTAAAGTTAGCAGAACTGTTGTTAGTTTTTTTGGGGTGTGTGTGCAAATTTAAGTTTAAATCCAGTTTTAGTCCCAACTAGAGTAGATCCATTGAATCAGTGGAACATCCCAAGTCTTAATTTGCTATTCAGAAATTGGTTTAATAGTCTAAATAACAGGGACTGTTGGATTTGAATTTACAGGTGGTCTCAGTTTACGTCAGGGTTGTGTTCCTATACTTGCACTGCATATTGAGACTGATGTAAGTGGGAGAGCCAGTTCCATGGGGAATCATTGGAGACTGGAGAATATGTTCTAACCCACTACCAATGTTAAAGAGATATAAAACATAAAACATTAGAGCTCACCTTTTACAGGCTAGAGAAATGTACAGATGCTTTCCAGAGGGACCAGAAGAGGCAGCAACTGCTGATCTCAAAGGTGCTTGGCTGGAGTGAGCTGGCTTGCTATTAGATGATATTAGAGGAACACACAGACAGCAATGGGTAAGAATTGTATTCTGCTCCTGTGCCTTGTCCAGCAGCCTTCCTAGGTAAAGAAAGCATATTAGGAGAGAGGCAGGAAGGACATCTCCCGGTGGGTCTTCTGCAGCAGGTGCAAGGGGAACAATAGGAGGAAGGTGGCACATTTCCAGTACAGTAACCAACTGCACTGAAAAGAAAAACAAAGCAAAATGAAAGACACAAAAGCCCCCCTCCAAAAAATAGCCCATGAACAAAATACCCACTGATTTCTTTCTTTCCACATCTTGATGATAAGCAGGGTTTAAGATGTCACAGGAATCTTTATAATTTTTACTGCAGCATGCTTAGCAATTGTCGTTTTTGGCTTTGTTAGTGTTATACACTGATTCTCTCCACATCACAGCTAAAGAGATAGAGGAAATCCTTTTCTCCAGCCACACCAAAACTCCAAGATTCTTCCAGTTTCTGCTTTCCCCTCACATAACCTTTCTAAGCTAGGAAAATAAACTCCTTCCTTTTGGCAAAACTGGGGATGCAGTTGCTTTATGTCCCTCCTCACTCTTCCAACCTAGGCAGGTAAAAGAAAAAGAGCCCTTTGAGCTTTTTTGATGCCTAAACTCCCAACTCATACCACTCTCCTCACTCTATTACCTCTTCCACCTTGCTCAAATGCAGAAGCAAGCTGGGAGAACTGGATTGTGGGCGAGACATGTATTTATTTATTTATGGAAAAACATACTTGTGATCTGCTGTAAATTGAGATAATGTGTATTGAGAGTTGCCTATAGGTGTTAATCTTGCAGTGAATCTAGTTGTATTTCTTACATAATAGCAGATTGCCAGCATAGTGTAATGGTTTAAGCGTTGGACTACAACTTTGGAGACCAGGGTTTGAATCCCTGTTTGGCCATAAAAATCTACTATTGGGCAAGTCACACACTCTTAGCCTTAGAGGAAGGCAAAGGCAAGCCCTCTCTGAACAAATCTTTCCAAGAAAACCTGTGATAGGTTTACTTTTGGGTTGCCATAAGTTGGAAATGACTTGAAAGCATCATCATCATCATCATCAAAACAACATCATCATCAACAACATAACATTGACACATTTATAAATACTATTCTGAAGACCACACATAATCAGGCCAAGAGCCACATGCAGCCCATATTAGATAGCTTTTGGGAATGGTGGAAATGAAGCAGCATGAAATATTTTGTGTCAATGTATGTTTAAATATTTGTGCTGGAGTAAAAATGTATCTGTTATAAATTAAGTGTGGTTTTGGGATATTTGCTATTGGATCATCAATTTTCCACTCAGATTCCTCTTCAAAAAAGCCACAGTAGTGAAGAAATGGGATTGGGCTGTGATACTGAGGATGGAAAATGAATCACCTCAACAGATTCATCTATTTGCTTGCGATGAATGCACTAAATTACTTTATCTCTTATTGAGACTAATACAATAACAGCAAAGATAATAATAATAATAGTAATAATATTTTTGTAGGGGATCTGTTCCGGACCGTCCCATAAAAATGGAAACTTGCATATATTCAAGCTCCGTTGGCTTGAATGGCTGTGTGTGCCATGGGGGCGCAAACCATTTAGCCAATGGGGCTCACCCCTCCATAAATAATCAAGGCTGTGGCCTTCAAGTCCGCAAAAACATAGGGGCAATTGTATATGGATACCTGTATTTGCCGATGGAGAAAATAGCAAAAGGATTCAAATCTGGGAAAATGGTACAGGGACAAGTTTAATCTCACCACCCAGTGCGGTCACCTTCCTCTGGTATAACCCTACCACCATTTTTACATTAATGATTTTACTTTTTTTGGGGGGGGGGTGAGACAGAAGATCAGGTCATGTAGTCTGGTTCTCTACAAATTGACTTTTAGAGACTGCTAAACACACTTCTGCTAACAAAAATTTAAAGGGTATCTCTAGCATATTTCCAAGAGACAGACAAAAGAGGAACAAAACACAGTTTTTCAGTCAAAGACCTTGGAAAGTACAACTGAATATGCAACTTTTCACCTACTTTTTGTAACAGTAGTTTGAAAAATACTGTATCATTTACTTTTTCTGAGTGTGGAGATTGTTTCAGAGTTTCAAATTGCATTGTATAGTTTAGCATGAAATATGCTTTGTTAACACATTATCAAAGATGTTTTGTCTGAAATGTGAATATCTAGCAATCTTTGTGCACACTGTTCCATACTTTAAATGTACTGGATCTATAAGCAAAAAGATTTTTTTTCACCTGAACTCATAGATTTAAAAATATGTGGATGAAAATCTAGTAAATTAGAATAGCTGAGCATTTTGTATCTTTTTTTTTTTTTTGGTCTATTCCATCTAGCTCAAAAGATGAGATTTGTTTGTTTCCATACTTCCCCCATCCTATAGTCCTGCAGAGTACACTTTTTGTTTGCTGAATTCATCACAACTAATATAATGCCTTTTCATCCCACAGAGAATTAAAGCAGGCAGTCTTATTGACCAAATAAAAACTATATGCGTTGGTGACCACATAGAATCTATCAGTGGAAAAAGCGTAGTAGGCTGTCGTCATTATGAAGTTGCTAAGATTTTAAAGGACTTGGAGAAGGGTCAGACATTTATGCTAAAATTAATAGAACCAATGAAATCGTTTGGTGAGTGACATGTATCCATGATAATTATACCTGTAGTTTCCTGTTGTATGTGTTTCCAGATAGAGTAAAACTTGTCCTGTCTGAACACACCAAAGAATCCATACAACTTGAAGTATAAGATTGAAAACAGGCCTTCCAAACATTTGAACTGTAGCCACAGTGTAGCCAGCTATGGTTTAGTAAACTTTTCCTCCCATTGCCGGCATATGACTTGTATAAAGCAAGGAAATTACAAAGATAGTTCCTAAATTACAAAGAGGACAGCTTTTCTTCTCAAATTCTTGTGGTTTTCATCTGTTATCTAGGTTTTATCTAATTCAAGGTAGGATATTCATAATCCCATAGAATATAGTCCATTTTGCTAAAATGCAGCTTCTTAACATTTGTTTAGTTTTCCCTATCTATTATGCCTACTTTAAAATGTATTGCTCCAAGCACTAAGCACCATAAAGGTAAGAACACATAACAATACAGTGAGCCTTTGACGTTCACAGCTTTGACACTCACTGTTTTGACATTTGCACTCCTCCTCCTCCTCCCTCCGGGGCTTTTCCCCTTGGAGGAAAAAGCCTAGGAGGGAGGAAGCAATTGGGAAGGGTGCATACACCAACCTGCCCTTTCCCCAGTGGGATAGCAGGCTTCCCACAGCTAGCTATCCCACTGGGTAAGGGAGAGGAAGAGTAATCACGCACCCCTGCGCCTTCCCCAGTGATAGCAGGCTGTGGGAAGATTTATTTGCATGTATAAAATGGAAATTTATTTGCTTTACTATAGGGCTCAAGGTTTGTTGAGCTGAAACTTTAATATTTCCCAATGACGGGGAAACATTGTTTTTTATTTTAATTTAATTTTTAATTTTAATCTTAATTTTAATTCCCCCCTCCCAAAAGAAGTTGACTAATATGATGCCTTTTGTGGCCAGGTTTCCACAAGTTGCTTACCATTCAACCACATGCCTCCCAGTTTACTGACACTTAAAATGTTCAGTATTGGCCATATGTTTTAGGATTTTACAAAACTAACAAAAATAATTCCTTATTACAGTCCATAGACCCAACAAGTTCAATTAACAACATGTAAGATAAATGATAAAGAGGGATAACATAAGAGAAAGATAAAAAGGGACGTGGTGGCTCAGCAGTTAAGACACTGCCTCTGAGGACTGCAAGGTTGGCAGATAGGCAGTTTGAGACTCAAGCGCCGCATGACGGAGTGAACTTCTGTTACTAGTCCCAGCTTCCGCCAACCTAGCAGTTTGAAAACATGTAAAGGGCAAGTAAAGAAATCTTCTTATAAGAATGTGACATAAAATTGGGTGATTGTTTTTGTACAGGAGCAGTGTTTAAATGCTGGTGATGCAGTGGTTAAATGCTGGCACTGCAACTGCTCACTCACAGCCACAAGATTGCGATTTCGATTCCAGCCAGGGGCTCCAGGATTGACTCAGCTTGGCATCCTTCCAATGTCACTAAAATGAGTCCTCAGCTTGTTGGGGCAATTAGCTTACATATTATAAACTGCTTAGGGACTGCCTAGTTCAGTATGAAGCGGTATAGAAATATAGCTGCTATTGCTATAGATTTGCCAATAATGGATTGCTCATATGTTGTTGTACAATCCACAAGACAAAAGAATGTGCTTCATGGATTATACTTCCTGATTATTGCAGGGACATAGTGTTGTACTGTAGGGGACATGAGCAAATTATCTCAGGATTTCAGAGGGAAAAACATTAAATATGGCCTTTGTGAAAAGATTGCGATAATTAATGACAGTTTAAATACTCTACTGTTAGTGTGAAAAGTCCAACATGTTCTATACTCAAGCTTTATGAGTAGGATAAGTATGAACAAGCACCAAAGTCACAGAAAACAGCATCCCACAGTCTTTGTTTTACAATTTGAGAGTAGTACCATAGCTGAGATGTAAAAGGAGGGATAACGACAGACCAACTGAAGTAGGTTTTGAGATGAGAAGCTTTGACCAATGGCTTATGTAACTGTCCTGATATAGATATACAAGTAAACATGTGTCTAATTTTAAATTAGTAAACTTAAAACAAAATTTTAAAGCTGCCAACCAAACTTTTGTCACTAGAGGGCATTCCTATGTTACTAGAATAGAATTGTTTTAAGAACACATCTGGGAATTTGAAGGAGAGCCCATAAAATTTAACTTGAAGAGTCTCTAATACTTTTGTTTCTCCCCCAATACAAATGAAATTTAGGATGTGCATAAGAGGTCTAAAATCGGTCAAGCAATCCCTGGACTAAATTCAGATTAGATAATCATTTTGATTGATCTACAACCAGAATATAGCACATGATCCCAAATTTTGTTTTCTTTGAAGAATACCTAAAACAATAACTATTTGGGATTAACATTCCAAACTACATAATTAATTTCTGTTGTAGAAATGATTGAGCCACGATCTAAGGCTGGAGGTTTTGTAGAGGGAAAAATCTCCAGAGGCAAAGAAACTCTTCGACTAAGATCAAAAGGACCTGCTACAGTGGAAGAAATGGTGAGTTTCTCTTTTATGATTTTGCCTTTTGGAGATATGGGACAGAACTCTTAAACTGGTGTTCTGGTTCAGCTATAATACCAAACTGTGGTTTAAGATAGCTGTGCTAAAGCCAAGCATACAAGAGAAAGATGGAAGCAAAAAATTCAGTGGACATGCCAGTCATGTCCAGACAATAGCTATGTATAATCTGAACTGACCCACTTCAGGTTCTTTTGTGGATGTTAAAAGTGTAAGGTGGAAAAATGGACTATAAAACTCACATAGGAACACTATTTTGCATTAGTATATTTCTTAAGGATTTAAGAGTTTTAAACTTTATTGATCAATAACAGAAAGAGAAGAGAAGAAATGAGATGGCATTTGGAACAAGAGAAGCTATATTTCAAATACAACTACAAACACAAAGCCAAAGGAGACCCTCACTGGAAACTACAAACTTAATTTTGGACATTTAAAAAAAAAAAGGAAATAAGAGCAGAGATAAGAGCAGAAATGAAAGACTTTACAGATGGGATCAAATCTACAGTGGGGCCTTCTCATCCATGGACTCGCCATCCATGGATTTCAGCATGCATGGATGGCAAGCCCCTGGTTGTCCCCAATGGTGGTGCAGGCACGTGGCTGTGCTGTCATTAGGAACAGCCCCAGTTGTCCCCAATGGCAGCGCATGCATATTGCTGTGCCGCTATTGGGGACAGCTGCTGTTGTCTCTAATGATGGCACTG